AAAATACGCCAGTCAATGTCCTAATTTCTATATATCCTATAATTAATATTAGGGTCATCTTCAATAAATGTATGATCCAGCTTTTGTTCTCAAGTTATTTTTCTTATGGTTTCTATAAAAAAAAATCGATATTGATTCCAAAGAAAAGAAAATTTATTAGACCTTGTAATTACTGTTTTTAATTTTTGTAGAATAAAGATGTTAGTGTATCCCACCATTTTTTGCCTAATTGTTTTCTCTTAAATTAAAAGGACTCGGAGATTGAATTGTATATATATATATATTTTTAAAAAATTTGGTCATGGCAAGTTAACCATTTCCATGAAGAAAATATCAGCTACGAAGGAAAAGGGAAGCTTCCATAAAACTCGCTAGTGACCCGATTATATGCAGGAATTTATCACTGGAAAAGTGTTGAAATTATTATTCTCTCGTTTTTTTTATTTATTCTAATTTGAATTTTACATAAGTCTTTTTTTAATTATTCTAATTTAAATTTTACATAAATTTTACCTAAAATTTTTAATTATACAATGACAAATAGATGACGATTAAAAACATTTATTTTTATAAATATCTTTTATTAAGTAGTTTTATTTAAAACAAATTATTTTTTAATTATCATTGATTTACTATATATTACTAGAAGTTAGTTTTGCATAGGCTTTAAGCCCCTCCTTTTTTTAATTGGTTTAGAATGCCTTATCTGTTATTATTATGTAAGGTGTTTTGAGACTATGGGTGGAGTACCCCTTGTACTCCATATGATAATACATATTTTGATTCATCTAAAAAAAATGGTATGGTATTTCTAAGAGACAAGTGTAAATTAAACATCCATACATCTCTTCTTCTGATTAACACCATGCGTTCTACTAAACTTTTTCAAGGGACTATTTCGAGGAAATTTCTTTTGATTGCAGTTAGACTTTTAGAGTTGCCTATGGCAGACCCCAAAGGGAGGCCATGTATATCTGGTCTTTGCATACAGTCAGTCATGACTTCTTTTAAGGGACAAAAACCTGTTACCAAGTCATTTCTGCAAACCAACCGCGCCTTTATCGTGTGTTTGGGGTTGCTTATCATACATTAATTTTTGGTTAATGTAAGTTTGGTAACAGAAAATAACTATTTTTTATCAAATAACCATAGATTCATTAATAAATAAATATAATATACATCAAGCAAATCTATGATAATAAGCTTCATATAGACAAAGAAATATAAAAGCCACAAGTGCGCTAATGGAAAATGAGTGCTCAATTCGCCCGTATGAAAATGATTAATATATCTTTGGTTTAGCACATTTTTTAATATTTGTTCAATTCAATTTTTAAATTATAATATAAATATAACTAATTTAACTAGTTTTTACATTTTATATGCATGACTGAATTTTTATATTTATCTACTTTTAACTTTAAATTAAAAAATAATAATTTTAATAAGTGTATTGTGCAATATATTGAATTAGAGAATGTACTGATTAGTGTCTATCTTCGTATTTAGGATTAGGAAATGAGAAAAATTACAGCATTAATTCAACTTATGTCATTTTGCTGTCCTGGAAATATGAAGCAAATAAGACTACTGCAGTTCTTCAGCCACCAATTTTCTGGCCACCATCAAATATGGTGCAACTAAACCATTAAATCTGAATTTCGGGAGAAAAAAAGAAAAGAATCTTTCAAATTTGAATAGTAATTTTTTTTTTTTCATTTGGTCGTTGCAGGTTATTTCCATGAAGAAAAGTATCACCTACAAAGAAAAAGGGAAGCATCCCATACATATGGAATCGGTGTGACCTTGGTAGAAATACTTTGAT